TTTTTAAAAAAGAGTAAAGTATCAGAGATGATATCAGTGTAGGGTGAGGGGGCCCAGCAAGTTAGCTCAGCAGTCTATAAAGCACCTGCTTAGGCAAGCTTAGGCAAGTTCAGGGACAGTGGTTTGATTCCCAACACCACATGCCACACCAGCCCCGTCTCCAAGCATGGACTGAGCTGGCCACAAAAAAATAAATAAAAGTTACAATAATATAAGGTGAGGGATAAGGGAATGTGTAGCACATTTAATGGGATGACAGCAGTAGGTGTGTTTAACTTGCAGGACTCAGGATTGAACCCAGGGCCTTCTATATGCTAGGCAAGTGCTCTAGTCTTGAGCTACATCCCCAGTCCATTCTTAAATTTTTTTTTTGAGGCAAGGTCTTTCTAAATTTCCTAGGCTGGCCTCAAGCTTGCAATCGTCCTGCCTCAGCCTTCCAAGGAGCTTGAATTACAGGTGTGCATCAGCACATCCAGCTGATCCTGTATTCCATTCTCTAGGCAGAGCAGAAAAGGTGAATTGCTTACTGATCCAGAACTGGAAATTTATGGATTAGTTATATCCAATGGTCACAAGTGAGGAGAACTTGAAATCAGTTTTATTAATCCACCAGTGGTCCAGGCTGGTTAGAGGAGGAAGTATAGTGTGAAGGAGGGAGGAAATAGAAGGATCAAGTACTTATTAATCTTGTCAAAAGTCAGTTTAAAGCATAGTCTCAGAAAGGATTCCTTGCATTTTCCTAGAGTACATATTATTCCTATGACACAGGAAATAATAAACAATGTGAAATATTTCTGTTCTGTTTTATATTGCCGACATTTACTAAAACTTCCACACTTCTTATCTCGTGAAAGCATAGTGGAAAGGACAAACAATTAGTTAAAGTGCTATTACATCTTTCAGTGGCAGGTTCCTTTTTTTTTTTTTTTTTTTGGTATGTATTTAGTACAGGGTTTCATTATGCAGATTGGACTAGTAGTGATCCTCCTGTTTTCAGCCTCCCAAATTCTGGGATTACAGGCACACCTCACCACACCCAGTCCTGATCTCAGTGCGCCCCAGGGGCAGAGCTGGCACAGCAGGCTGGGGATCAAACCCTGGTCCCTGTGCCTGCCTAAGCAGGGGCTGAGCTATCTGGCTAACCCTGTGGCAGGTTAATTTTATGTTTTTAGTACTTACTCTCAGCCAGGCAGGAAATAAACTAGATGCTGGTCATTCTTAGGTCTAGCCTCTTTTATGACCATACATCTTTTGCTATTTTAACTGTGTGTGTCACCATGCTCTATTTTAAAGAGTTGATTTAATGAAGGATTTGATTGGTAGTCATTGTACTTGTTTTGCTATTCTGTCCCTTTGCTCATACTTTGGGGAGCATCTCCTAGCCTATCCTCCTCTTTCTACTGTGTCATTGTTCTTCCTTATTTGGGCTATTGGGCATCATAGATACTACCAGCTCCATATAAAAAAGAGTGAGTTGACTTTTCCTCCCAGCAAGGGCTATAAATATAGTGAGTTAAGCTAAATATGACTTTAGATAAATATGATTGTTCCAAGTATATTAATAAGAGGGCTTTTGCTTGTTTTTAGATTTTTGACACAGGCTCTTGCTCTTATTTGAGCTGACCTTAAACTCATTTGGAGGGAGTACCAGGAATTGAACTCAGGACCTCAACCTTGCCAGGCAGGTGCTACACCACTGACCTAAATCCCCTGCCTATGGCCTTGAATTTGTTATGTAGCCCAGGCTGGCCGTGAACTCAAAGTGATCTTGTTGTCTCAGACTCCAAGTGCAGGGATTATAGGCATACACCACTATGCCTAGAAATAGTTTGTACATAGTTTCCCAACATCTTGTATTGTAGTTTCATAAATTGTTCCTTAACATTATTGTCAAAGAATAATGAGGGCTGGAGATGTAGCTCAGTGGTAAAGTTTACCTAATATGTTCAAGGTCCTAAATTCAATCGCTAGCACTATAAAAATAGAAAAAGAATGAAACCTGGTTGTTATTCCTTTAAAGTAATGCTTCTCAAAGTATGGGTCTCAGACTAGCTGTATTGACATCACATGTAGGCTCATTAGAAATGCAGATTCAGAACAAGGTAGAATGCTGCATGCCTGTAATCTCAGTTAACTTAGGAGGATGAGGCAGAAAAATTGAAGATTGGAGGCCAGCCTAGCAATTTAGTGAGGCCCTCTCTTAACATAAACATTTTACAGGAAGGCTACAAATATAACTCAACAGTAGAACATTTTCTAGCGAGTGTGAGGCCCTAAATTCTATACTTAGCATCACAGAAAAAAAAAAAAAAAAAGCCATGAGCCCTGGCTTAGCATCTCTAAAACTGAGGCCTAGGAACTTCAAGAAATTCTTAGGTGACAACTTGAGGACCCCTTCCCAGGTATTAGTTTATATCTTTGTATCATAGGAGGTAATGAATGTATATTCGGTAGAAGACGCCTCATTTAAATATATA